ACATCACATTAGAAACCTCCAAAATTATCAGTGTTTCTCTATTATATTATGCATGTTATATACACATAAACCTTCCTCTCAAATCACTCAATTAAAAAACCCGCATCAAAATCCGTTGCATAGTTTTGAAAATCTAAGCATACATAGGGACAGATAGCGGGAAGCAACTTTGTTTCATACCATGTAGTGATGTGTAGATTATGCACAGAAGTTTCTTTAATGTTCATATATCTGAAAGCAATTGTTTCAAATGAATTGCCAGAAACAATTTGTCAGTTTATCGAACTTTTTCCTCACCAGAACAACATTGCTTTCTCTCGACGCGCGTTTCACCAACCATGTCCTGATGATTCAAATCTTGGTTAGCGAAACGCACATCTAGAGACAGCAATTTTGTTCTGGGGAAGAAAAAGTGTTTTAAATAGGTTAATAATACACCAGAGGTTCCAAATTCTACTTGAGCAGTTTCAATATTGAGGTAGAAAATGTGTAGTACTGAAAGACATTTTCTTGTAATAGGTATACCTACCAGCAGTGATGGCGAAACTATGATGCACGTTTTAGTGCTAATGCGCGAGCTCATTTTTGGTGACACGCATCTTCAAAAATAAAAAATATGGAACGAAATCCTTCGAAGGATGAAAATGAGTACAACTACGAAGAAGGCATTTGAAATCTTGAAAGAGATTACCTGACACTTATATCAACTTGAACGATTCAGCAATGACTTTGCTAATAATTTTTTGAAGGACTTCCCTGCCAGTTTGTATCTGCCAGATTTATACTGAACTTGACTACTTTCTTCGGAATGATAATGGAAAAGTAGAAGAAGCTGAAAAACGTTTTTCCAATGAAAATGTCCATTTTTAAATTGAAAAATCATCTGAAAAAAATATTTTTATACACTCAACAAAAATTTCTTCAATTCTAGAAAACTAATTTAGTGTTAATTTCAGTATACTTATTGTAATATTCATTATTTTTGGAACAGACATTCCTGTAGTTGGAATATAATTCGTGCGAACGTTCGAACATCAAACCATTCATCAGTTTTTTACAATGCAGAAATTTAATTAGATGATCAACACGTGCAACAATATATAAACATTGATTTCCATAAAAACATACAATTTCATCCACTGGAAACGATTTTTTCGAGATGAGTACCTCTGCTGACGTACCTACAAAAGTAACTAATTGTGAAAAAAACAGCTGTTATTGTAATTGCGGTTACGATGAGAATCTCCACGAATTCATCCCATTTTGGCCTCACAATTATTGTCGACCGAGGTTGAACAAATGAATGACTTGAGTAACTCAGAGATAGTTGACATGCATAAAACATGGCAATTCATTGCCACTTTTTTTTTTCTTATAAAGTTATTCTGCTGCTTAGTAATTATGAATTTATTAATAGTTGCTGTAAAATTAGGTATTCCCAGTTAGTACAGTCGAGAATTCATCTATGTATTTTATTTTCAGGTACACATGGACACATGAAATGTCAATTCAATGGACAGTTGAATTCACAAGATACTGTACTACTAAGTCTATACAAGAGAGTCTATCCCAAATGGACTTATGAAAATCTTTCAGTATCTGTCGACAGTGAAAAGATGGATACTTAAATACGTCTTTGTATGTTATGCATAATGTACAGTGTTTTTTGTTATAAGTATATTTTAAAATATATTTTTCGTGACTGAACTGGATTTTATTATTTGAAACAAAGATTTTGATTTCTGTCAACTGTTGGTGGTATAAAATTTCCCAGCCTTCATAAAAATATTCGTTTATTATCAAAGAAATATATCAGAATGCTTGAAAATAGTTGTATACGAACCTGACATATATTGAACAGAATAAATATAAAATAATTAAAATTAAAAGGTATCAAAACCACCTCAGGTCATGTTCAATGTGCATCATATCATCAAATATCTTTTCAATCAAGTGCAAACTTTTAGCGGGTGTTGGTACTAAATGCTATAAAACATCATTTCAAAATCTGGCAAACAAAACTTGGAACAAATACAAAAATTTGGGAATAATTCTTAGGTCAAAAATTAATGTTCATTATCACATGACCAATGTAGTATCTAGTCATATGTATTCTCAAATTGAATTTTCTCTATTCTTTAAAATTTCTTATTACTATGACCAATTCTTTTTTTATTAAGATGTATCAGCACTGCGGATCATATNAGATGATGGAACTTTTATTATCTACTTAGGTATAACACGAGCAAATATTCACGACAAACAATATTATACCAAAATGATTTTCAAACGCTGTCTTTTGTTTATTTTCTATATTACCGACTGTGATTGGCACAGCCGCGGTTCTGTGCATGGCCCCCTGCGTGCTAAAGCAACAAGTTGTTGAGGTCAAACGCGATATACGGGGTAGTTAGACAAATAAACAATGAACGAGATGAAAATAGGAAATTGGAATAACCGCACACATCTTTTTATCGACTTTTTTTTGGGTTACCTTCCACAATATGAAAAATATAAAAAGTGTAATGGAGAACTCTACATGGCAAACTTTTTAGTTCACCAGGATAAGTTACTGCGTAAATGCAAAGTATTTTAATAAATTATATAGATACATGTTTTAAAGTTACGGTGGCTAAAATCTGCCTTCGTCTTCAGAATTGAAGAAAATCTAAATATATTTATAGTTTTCTCTTCGCTGATTCTCCTGTCTCTAAACTTTCTCTACTGATGTCAAAGGAGTTTATTTTTCATTGACATAATTTGGAACAAAGTTGCATTCCTAATTCAGAGTTCAACCAAATGGTATTAAATGATCCAACCTACCTCTTTACGAAATAAAATTGGTAAATAACAAAGAAAAATAGATAATTATTTTGTCAATATCCGACGTAAGTAGGCATAAAATTAGTAATAAAATGCTATCCAAATTAGTGCTGAAGAGGCAATAAGGTAATTTTTATTCCTGAACATGGTATGTCTGCCATTGAGGATGACAGTGTTCCATGTAAGTGAAATGTTATCTCTTTCATATCTGTTTAAAATCTGTTTCTCCGTTAATCAGCTGTCGCCCCCATACGAACGACAACTCTCAGAAGTTGAAAAACTTGTGCGAGCTAAGGACTAACGTGGGATTCCTTACTTCAGTTCAATTCCATAGCGAATGTTTGGAGTACAACCTGTATGGGAAAAAGTGTTTTTTGTATAATTCAAAGTTAATATAAAAGTACTCAATTAAAAAAAAACAAATGTTAAAAAATAAATTATATTAATCATAAAATATGTTTATATTATTTCAATTATCACATAAAATCTTCCTCAAAGTTGCTACTTTGATTTCTTTTTCCAGTTTCTTGATTTCAATATCCAACATTGTACTTTGGACCTCAGCTTCCAATTTCTTCAATTTTAGTTCTCGTTCTTTATTTCTGTACTCTTCTTCCGATATTGAATCTGATGAAGAATTTACTTTGGTCAGTTTGAAAGGAAAGGGTTCTGAAACAGTCTCCAAAGGCCCAATCTTGGGACCCTCCCTTTTTCTGTTCAATTGTCTATTTATCGAAGAGCTTTTTGGAAGGATATTTATATTCGAAGCATTCAATAAAATGTTGGGGCTTACACTACGTTCGTTCTTAGCTCCTATATCTTCCTCAGTTATTGTGTCATCATTTTCATTCAGTTTGATAATTTCTATCTTCATGTTGTTCAGATTCTGGCAATTTATAAATTCTGTATGAGGGTCCATAACTATAACTGAAATAGAGTAGAATGTAATTGTGTATGAAAACAATATATAACATATAGAAATGTAGGTTTTCACGGCTGGCGTCAATGTTTTGGTTGGCAGTATAAATGACACGGTCGAAATGAGAGCTTCAGTTTCAGTTGACACGTCAGGAAGAGTACTTCGACCACGCCACTGAAGATGACTGCCACATTTGGAGATTATAACCAAAGAAGACCACGGTAAAACCCGAAAACCAACCAAAACAGAATATAACATGTTACAATATAATTCCTAAAGAATAGTATTTACTGATTTTGTTGTACCATCTGATTTAGAAAAATAAAAAATGGAGCATACTACCTCAGAATGTTTCAAAAACAAGATTATATTTTATTCAAATTACAGATTGCCTAAACAACCTCCCTTTGAAGTTCTTTGAAAGATAAATTATACAACCAAAATGTATAGGTGCATGCGATGGAAGTGAGTTATTACTGGTTGTACACAGAGTGGAGGTGGTATTCACATAGTTATTAGGCTTCAGCATTAACTGATTTCCAGCTTCACTAAGCAATAACAATCTTTAGTACATAACACTTCAGTGACAAATCTCAATGAGCATAGTTAGATAGTGAAAACAAATGAAAGTTTTGAAAGTATCAAAATAAGTGCCAGAGGGTCACAAGGATCGCTTCTAAATCCAATTTTATTCTCATTAGATATTTACCACTTGGTGAAAAATTAACAGATTTCACTGAAGACACCACGATATTGTGTCATACCTAAAGTTTGAGTGTATTATTGATGAGAGAATAGCTTATGAAATTGGAAAACTAACATATCTATACTCTTTTGCATATTTCCTAAACGAACATTGTAACTTATACTTACTCTTGATAATGTACCTAGAGAGAGGTGTCATTGAGAATATTGTATAAAACTTTTAGATTTCCACTGGTTATTATGAATTATCACTATGTGCAAAAATACATATCATATACTTACTTGCTTCACTGTTTTTATCATTCTCTAGAGATTCTCTAGAGCTTGACATCAACCACAATATTTTTTTCTCATTATCATTATATTCTACATCTTCATAAGTGACATTATCCTTTTCAGACATTTCCATCTTTCGTCTGAGTAATTTCCTACGGATTTCTTTTTTTATAGCTTCATATTTTGTACGTAGCCCCTTTGTTGTTCTGAAACCATCAATTGTGGAATTATTGAATTCAACCGAAATTGCTTGCCATTCCTGTTCTTTTCTTCGCCAAGTAGTAGCATCGGTATTTTTGGATTCTATAATTTCTGGACGTTTCACCACCAATTCGCACAATAATTTTATTTCTCTCTCTGAAAAATTCGCAGACCTGACCTTTTTATTTCTTTTGGGTTCAATCGCATTTACCGAAATCATTCTACTGTGAAACATTGCTACTTCATATCTTATAATAAAAATGTATTTTCAAATATAAGCGGTAAGGTATAATTTATCTGTATGATTGGTAACAGATACTTTCAAGCTCACAGTTGACGATGGCCGACAGTTTGCAGACCGAAGATTAATTCTACTTCTTCTTATTTTATGGTCCGATCGCCAGCTCTACCACCAATATTTCAGTAACTTTTGAACAGTGTTGCCACTTCTGTTCTTTCGTAATAAATCTATTACACAAATCTGTTAACGTTTCATGATTCGGACCGAATAAATATATATAGTATATATCAATGTCACTATTTCTTCTGAAGGGAGGAAAGAATCTACAAATATTCTATTAGAAACGAGGTATAACTTTAAAAAGGCCGATTTTCTTGAATTGAGTCGCACTCTCAGAGATATCGAGTGGCATACAGTTCTAAATGAAAGCGATGTTGAAGAGGCTTTAGGTAAATTTTATAGTTTGTGGAATGACGTGGTAGCAAGGTGTGTCCCTAAAATTAGTTTCGGTAAGAATAACAATTCGTATCCAATTTGGTTTACTAAAGAGATAAAGGATCTGAGGAGAGAAAACGAGAGAAACAGGAAATTGAAAATGTTANTTAATGTACCTCCACGGTGTATACGTTCCGCACCAATGTTTAATATCTCTGCAATATGTACATCATCGAGAGCACCTCTTTTAGCTATGATTAAATTAGCAAACAATTTCAATCTACTTATGGATTTAGATTGGACCTTACCTCTATCAGTTTTTCGTAAAACAATTTTAGAACAAATATTGAATTCAACTCTGTCAAACTAAACATATATTTGACGAATCCACTCAGTGCAGTTATGGACGACTCCCTATACAAGTCTGGTATCAGTAAGTAATAGTTTAGTAATCTAGATCCATATTTAATAGCTATCATTGTAGTGTATTTGCCAACAGTTTATCCATGTAATTAGTCTTTAATGGACTGTATGGGTAATAAATACAAATACAAATAAAAATGTTCGGACTAGGAAGACCTCGAACTTTCAAGCATTAATTGATACTCGTTCAATCAAATATCGTCCATTGCTACCTGTTTTTTTCTCGGGTGATTATTGTCTACGATCTCATGTGTATGATGTTTTCACTTCAATCAGAATCAGAAATCAAAATGCCTTTTCTATGACTGCAGATAACGGTTCAAGTGGTAATAGTGATGCTGTAACAATATTTTGATCATATCCTTTTGTCCTATCGTCCACTTTTAGTAGATGTAGATTGAATATTGGACACTTGATTCATCAAATTGTTTATAGGATAAATTGATTCATCTAACAAATTGCAGATCGATTATAAGGAAGAATTCTCTATAAAAATACTCTCACACAAAATCCCACCCATGATCATGGTAATTTGTCAGTATGGAGTCTTCTTAGTACAGCAAAACTGAAATGTCATTGTCTCAGAACATTTTCATTCAGTCTAATTGATTTGCAGGTGTTTAGTGCATATTCACGTAAAAATGGTTGTACATGTATGAGGCGTTTAATATTTAATATTTTACGTATAACATTAATAAGAAGAATTAGGTTTATCATTTGAGTGATTGTAGTTTGTTGTGTTGCATCTATTTTACGTTGTATTCTTTGTTGTTCACCGTTTTATTTTCAAAGCAACGATAAAATATGTCAAATAAATAATTGGAAAGAAAAATATTTTGTTTCAATAATGTTTCAGTCATTTATTTCAGGCTACCGAAAGGGCCTTGCACTGAGCTTTTCGTGGAATTTCCAAAATGCTCATAATGGGCAGCATTTTGATTTATGAAAATCTAAATACTCCCACTCAAAACACTATATTTTAGGGTGTATTTTCAAAGCCTGCAAGGTTAATTGTATTTTCGTACATTACAGTGAAGTAGATATAGATGCAATATGAACACAATACTAATTATTCAAAGGCGGCGAATAAAAGTTTTTACATGTCTTTTTCTTCTTGATTATTATACATCGAATATCAGTGTTGCTTGTCATGAAACTTCCGAAAATATCAGAAACATGCGCAACCATTTCCAGAAGAAATAACTTAGTATGTTTGAGATTATGTTGAAATAATTTCAACTCGTGCGCACTTTTAGAAAATGTTATGTCAATACTGTGTAGTTATAAGATGGTCCTCATTATCGATTTAAATTCAAAAACAAGTTTGGTTATATATTAATCTAATAATGTTCTCATGCTCGAGCAATGATGTGAACTCCAATGTGAGAATATAGATGAGTATTTTGAAAAACTTTCGTAACTTTGTATGATGAGCTCGAAATAAAAATTCAATTTTAGACAGCAATCTACTGTCAGTTGGAGCTTGGTTCTCATGGTTCAAAAAGAAAAAACCCAACCTCATTTTCTAAAATGTAATGAAGAAATTTCGACTTTGAACTCAGAATCAAGCGATTTCTTCATTATAACCCAACCTAAGTTATACCTCATTCACAATTTACATTACTTCAGAATTTTCGGGTTGAATTTCGAGAAAAATATATCTGAGTATTAAATCTAAAATATCAACAAAAATAATATGGGCCTTCAATATTTCCATGCAATCGTGGTAAAAATTAAGAAGAACATTAAAAACGGAAAATGAGGTGTTTATAGAGAAATGTATAACAACACAGCCACAGAACCTACAGCTGTCCTGTTTAACGTCCCATAAAACGGGAGCCAAGTTGCAACTATCGCGAGACACCTCAATCACATATATTCATCCTTATTCTTATGAGAGCTACGACTCTTTGTGTAAGTGGTTATTTTTAATGTCTTGTTGTATTTCGTTCAGATGCGAAATTTAAAAATTCACACCAATATGAACAGAAAAGAAATTTTAGAATATATTTGTTTTCACACACAATCAGACAAACACATATATTGTATAGGAAAACAACAATCACAAACTTGAAACGAATAACAAAACATATTATAATAACATACGAAGCTTAAGCCAATGTATAACATTGAATTTGAGTACAAAAACAAAACTACTTGAGCATTTGATTTCTATAACAATATACTTCTAAAAGGTTACTTCATTTTTTCACGAATTTTTGGGGTTGCTCTCCACATGGAACCCATCATGGGGATGGGCGTCGTAATTAACAATTTGCAGTTTTCCTTGCTTATCGTAGAAACCGTAATGGCCTTTAACAATCCCCTCTTTATCTCTTTCCTCAAACCTGAACTGCCTGTTGCGTCTGAAAAAAGAATGATATTCAGTGCTCAGTCTGTAAAATTTTATGATTTTTGACGATATGATCTGAAAAAAATTGGAACTCAAATAACTTAAATTATAATTTCTCAAACGATTGATTTACACATTTTTTTTCAAACAGCGCCTACTCTTTGGTTTGATACCGTTACTTTTGAATTTAGACGTTTTGGCCTATCGAGTCCTGCGTTACACATCTATCGATGAGTAGGTTCTCTTTACATCCAGCGAGTAGTCCCTTCGACCCTCTCTGCTTGTAATACCGTTCGAACACTCGGTCAACTGCGGTGAGTAATCGTGTGTATAAGATGCTCGTAAACAGCTTATAACACGAATTTGATCGGTGTGTAATTCTGAGGAATCGACAAATCTCCGCTTTTGGGGATGAAAACGGTCCGTATCTCTACAAACCAATACAGAATCGGCTGCTCTCCATCCAGCCATGAGTTGAAAACTCTTGCCAAGTGACGGTGGATGCTTGGTAGTTTTTTCCACCAATAAGAGTTCAGCCGATCTGGGCCTGGAGCAGCAAAGTTCTTGGAACCCACAAGGGCTCTTCGAATGTCATCCGGGGTTATTGGAATGCCCAGTTCATTGAGCTCAGGTTGTTGAAGCTCTCTGCTGAAAGCTTCGAACTGCGCTAGGGCTGGGGTATCTAATTTGAGTGGCTGCGGATGTTCATAGATGTCCTTCCACCTGATCAGCGGTTGGCAGATTATCATTATTATCACTTCGAGCCGATTAATTTAACATTTGAGTAATTTTCGAAACTGAAGTTTTAATTTAATTAATTTTTGAAGCCAGATAGCACGATGGCAATTCTGGGACCAATGAGTGTCGGTAGCTATCCCAAAAGTTTCACTGGGCAACGGAAGTGTTATTAATTTGTGACTTTTCCAAGATGTGTTGTAAATGTCGGTAAGACAAAACACGGTATTTTGGAAGTATATTAGGGATCAAATTTCACAAGCTTGAAGACATCCTGTACCTATCATGAAGATAAAACACGGATCATGCCTGAGATCATTTCATTTTTACATATGATAATATAATGATTTTGGAAGTATATTAGGGATCAAATTTCACAAGCTTGAAGAGATCCTGTACTCATCATGAAGATAAAACACGGATCATGTCTGAGATCACTTCATTTTTACATATGATGATATAATGATAATAACGATGATAATGCTGGCGCGCCCTCCCGAATGTATCGGGGCTTCGGGGGATAGGGCCTGACCAGCGCAAACTACGGTTTGCGGTAATGAATTTATTAATTCCAAAAAATTACATGTTTATTGTAGGGACAATGTAACATACATATTAAAAAAATATACTGAGAATAATACAACAAAGAAAAATATAAATACCATGGATATCATATGTATACCATTATTTCATTTGTAGCACTTTTTTTTCTGAGTTGGCTGCTATATCTGTCATTAGTGAAAGTTGTCACCTTAATTGTCAGAATAGTTATTTCGTGTCTGATTAACACAGTATACAAACTGCAAATAAAAACTCAAAAACGAACAATATTATCATACGACATATGACAACTAATCCGTATGACAATCAGCTAGAGTCGATAAGTCGAAAAAATCCAAATGAATTCATTCCATATGGTTGGTTGACTAGACTGCAACTTAGCCAAGACTTAATTTTTATATCGTTAGCTGCCGTTTGCATTGACTGCTAAAGAAAGTTAATTTGTTTAAAAATCTGTATTTCCGTTAACCAGCTGTCGCACCCCTACGAATGACAATCCTTAGAAGTCGAAACTTGTGCGAGATAAGGATTAATGAGGTCTTACCTTTTAACGTGTGATTTCTAACACGGATTAGACGATAACAAGTGATCGTTCAGCCTGGGGCTTAAACCACCGATATACACGGTGGTCAATTCGAGTGAGTGAACAAAGCACCCACGTCGAACCGACTGGCTACCGACCGACCTTTGGTACTATATACATATGATGAACGAGAAACACGCTCATCATATAAGAAAAATTAATTTTGGATTTTGAAAGTTATTGAAAAATATTTTTACAGGTTGTTTTGTCATACTGAAAACATTTTAATTTCGAGTGTCCTTTTAAATATTACATAATAATATAAGTTTTATAATGTTACCATTTATTATGTAAAATGCAGTTTGACGCTAAAAGTTAGCAAAATGTTCGTAGAGTGAGATTTGAAAAAATTCTCATTATATATTACATTTTATATGTTTTCTATTGGGCTATGTATCCTTTTTCACTCTTGTTGGTGATGTTATTGGTTGCGTTTTATTTTATTAATTGAGTATTGAAAACACAAAACTTAAAATCTGGATTTCAGTCCTATGATCATGTAACTCCAGAAGTATAATTTTTATTTGAGTAGATTCTGTCCGAAACAAATGTTTAAGAATTAAATTTTTGGCATAGTAGTGGACGGACGTGCCGTTAACAACCGTCCACAAAGAAGGTACGAAGACGTCATTGTAGGTGATGGAACTTAATTTGTGTAGTGATTGTCCGCCGTCTTGGTACGTGCAAACATGACATTTAAAGTATGATAATGTAAAATAAAATTGAGAAGAGTTTATTTTAGCTGTTTTAATAGAAATTGCGCCCTCAGTCTCGCTGGTTGGAAGCCCTGGTGGACCGAATATCCACGTTGGGGTGCAAGGAATAATTAAACATCTATTTCCATTCACGCCGGTTAGAGGCCGGAATGGATCGAATGTCCATGTGGGAATGCAAAAAAGGAGTTATATAACACCCAACCCCATTCACACTGGTTGGAGGCGGGGTGGACCGGATGTTCACGAGGGAGTGTAAACAAAATTATATAACACCTCTCCCATTTACTTCGGGTGGAGACTGGGGTAGAACGGATGTCCACGTGGGAGTGCAGGAAAGGGAATCATATATCACCTACCCCCATTTAACGCTGGATAGAGGCCGGGGTGGACCGGATGTCCACGTGTGAGTAGGAGATAAAGCAGAGGTTCCCAAACTTTTTTTATTGTAGACTACTTTTAAAACGTTGCTGGTTCCGGAGTTGCGGCTGCATTCCAACAACGAATTAAAAGTTTTCGAACAAAAAGTGAGAATTGATTGGTTAATTCATTAATTGTGCTATGAGTGGATGTCAAAAAAGTGAAGTTGATCAATGCAAAAAGTGATTCCATCCATATTTATTTTTGACATCTACTCATAACACACGAAATCAATCAATTCTCACTTATTTCTTATTTCATTTAGAAAACTCCCCATTCGGTATGGTTAAGTTGTATTTCGTTCCCTTTGCACGTCTGAACAACATGTAATAGTCGCTGAGCATCTTAAAATTTCATCTGCAACATTAATAGGTGAAGTCGAGCTAACATTTTAGTTCTTCACTATCGAAACCAGATAAATTTTCGTGGACCCCTGTTTACGAATTGTGGTCACGCCAACATAGACCCCCATCGAGTCTCTCGTGGACCCCTGGGGGTCCACCTCGACCACTTTGGGAATCACTGAAATAAAGTCTAAGGTAACCTAAGAAGTGTATTACTCAAACAAGAACATTGTAATAAGGAGTACAGTATTGCGAAAAGCAAGACTTCTGTACTCCCCAGACAAGGTTCTCGTTACGTGATCACGTAATGAGAACATGCTGGTTGTATAGCGCCGTAATGAAAGCTGGACCAAGAATTTGGTAGAAAGAGGCAAAAGTTTGAATACGACACTGGTGGGAAGATTAATTCTAATCAGCTGGGTAATCACTGACCAACTTTTATAGCCAAATTGAATCGTTCCATTCCATATACCTACCCAGGGATAAAGTTATTGACTACGGTTGTCTGAGCAATAACACCAAACGTGCATGAAATGAATACACTTACGAAACGCTACCTTTGAAACTAAAAGAAATGTTAATTGATTAATAACCACAACACGAAAACATAATTTTTGTTAAAGTGTGAGATTAAAAATTCCAATCATAAAAGTATGATGAGAATTGAAAAAAGAGTTACGCAATGAAATAGAAATGTATTAGCATAAAAGTTCGGTGAACATGATGAACGGTTATAAATTGAAAAGAAATATGCAGCACTTGATTAATGATAACCACATTTTGGGGTCAGTCATGAGCAGTTGGTCAAAGGAATTTCCGTTTTCATTCATTTTATCGTTTTCAAAGATAAAAAATGTGAACATTCAAAATCGGTCCCATATTAAAAAAAAGTAGTGTTCAAATTAACATTATTGTAACTATTTCCTCACTCAGGACAGATTGGACTCTACTCTCTTCTTTTATGACGGTTTCATGAATATTTTAATTAACCCCTCTAAAGGACCAAAAATTTGGTTCGAAAAACATATAATAGTGAGTTCCATTTGTCCAACTGTTAGTGACTCGCCCCAATACAAATATATTTTGGTGTTAAGGTGATTTGAGAACAGAATAATATTTTTTGCTGCAGAACCAGAAAATAGAACGATGTTTCACCTTCTGATTGAACTCTTCGAAATTATTAATAGCAACAATCAAATTTACTTTTATTATAATTCCCCGGTAGGTAATCTGAATACTGAAATGAATAATATTTTTTTGCAATCTCTTTTTGAGGTGACTTCTTCGGTGATATCTCGTTGCCATTGCCAACAGTCATACAATTTGCTCTTTGGTCTTTATTGGTCAGAAGCAGCTCCATGACTTGCGATTCCAACAACCATAAAACGTTTGTGGACCACTCTAATATTAACTAGGAACAAATTGAAATCTCTCATGAAATTTACATTTTTCCTTCTCTTCCTAGGAATTCCAGAACTTGAATTTCTATAAAACGTTGATATATAGAATGAGTGATTTCAAGAAGTTTGAATAGTTCCAATTTCTTCGTTAGCTTTGTCAACCTTTGTGGCTATTCCAAAAAATAATCTCCTTTAAAAATATTCCGTTTTCAAAATCATCTCAAGTTGTTCCAACAACTCTGCTAATCCAGACTACTACAATCACTTAGAGAAATTTTTTGTTATTATTTCTGTGTTTTCTTTCGAAGATGTAAATTAAATGTCATTTAATTAACAACATTGCTTACAATTTTTCAGCAGGATCGTTTAGAATTGTCAATGGTAGCTTAGTTTTTCGAATATTACTGATCACACTAGGTCGAGGCAATTTTCTTCTGAATTCGTAGCCACTCAGGAAGTCTGTGAAATGAAACAATCATACCTACTAGTAGAATTCGTAGTCTTAAATGAAGTAGATGAATTATCTAAAAAAATATGTGTTCGAATCCACAACAAGCTTTCGGTCGTGCAAAATCCACCGCACCAGCTTCGTCTCAAAATGAGCAGTTATTGACATCTCAACTTCATCACTTTTTTTGGAGCTCTTCAAACTATTTTTTGGGATCTTGGGATCAGAAATGTATTATTTTTGTTTCAACTATTTTAACGGAAACATTTCTACAAAATATCTATTGGTGAAATATATGAATATTACTGGAGTTTTTGCCCAGCACCAAATCGTTATTTTTAACACCTCAACACGTATTTCTATCACGTGATCGAAACACGTGTCGAAGTGTTAAAAATGACGATTTGGTGTTGGGCAAAAACTACAGTAATATTCATTACTACACCAAAGGTTCCAAACAGTGCATCACAAAGTAAAATATATTTTGATTTTTCAATCAATAAAAAGTAAAACAACGTTCTATAAGATGAAATTGAGTGAATAAACAAAATGTAGTAGTGAAAAGCAGAAAGAGTTACCCTTTGCCAGTATCAAAGCCCCACTTATAAGAGAGAGGGCCCTCATGTCCCACCATATGAAATTCGATTCTTTCACCGGGAGAAGAAGCCCCTTGAGAAGCAACAGGAATGCCCAAGGAAGCAATTATGTCACTGCTCAGACCTTGGTCGAACGACTCATCCTTATGCTGATCTGAAAATTCACTAGCAGCTGCTTGCTGTTCAACTGCTTTCTTTCTAGGTCTCAGCATCTGTAATGAAACTTTTAACGGCTGAAGAAAACACTGAAGAGTAAGTATTTCGAGTGAAATTCAGGCAAGTGTCCAAAACATAGTTATAACAGAATTAAAGCTATTTACCGGCTTTGTGTGCCCGATGTTTTATCTACAACTACGGTAGGCATTATCAAAAGCGATTAAGCATTATCAAAGGCATAGGGAAGATTACCAAGGCTAACAAACCCGGAAAATAGTCTTAAGACAGTTGCCTCCGGCCGAAAATGTTTACACTCTTTGGTAGTTACAGCATCTCGAATGCACCACTAGATTTTTACCTTGATGACTTTCTTATTCTCATTCTTCGCTATTGACTCGAACCTCTTCTGCAAATCGTTCTGCCTCTGCTCATACAGTTTTTCATCGATAGGCTGCAGAACTAACTCTTGTTTTGGCTTGGTGGAGTAGGGCTTTTTTTTCAGGTGGATGTCTTCGATAAACTTTTTCGGGTACTGCTTGGTAGGAAGTTCTTGTCTGGTTAGAACCACTGGTACTTCGTAGTAGTACTTGGGGTCATTGTCGGGGTTCCATTCTGTCGCAACAGGAGCTACCAGATCTTGATTGGGAATCGGTACTTCGTAGTAGTTGGGTTCCTGGCTCTCTTGTGGTACTCTTAAATAAGATACAGGCTCAGGAATATTGAATGGTACTGGGTTACGCTCGACATTGGGAAGCTGTAGGTCGAGAGGTACTTGAGGTTGGTGAATCTGGTACGAGTCCGTGGTGTCTGATGATTGTACAGCTGGTAAAATGTATTCTTCTTCCAGTTCTTCCTTACGTGGTGGGAGTTTGCCAAATGTTGTCAGAGGAGAAGCATTCACAAGGGCTAGGAAAGCGAATACTGCCACCTAAAACAAAATTAGCTATGAGTTAGGTATACAAAAGTCTCCGATGTATAGATATTGTGAGATATACAGGAGTGACACATTCCTTCATGAAGTATTAGGTTAGGTTAGGTTAGATCCAAAGTGAATGGGTTTATTCGATCCTCCATCGCAACCCGCAAGTGTTTATTGTGGCTAAACACCTATTCACACTCAACCAAATAAACCCAGCTTCTTAACGAAGCCGATTAGTTTGTATGGTAAGTGGTCTTCCAGGTCAGATGGTAAACTCTGCCAAACTCTAAAAACCTGATTCGGTCCCCAGCGGAGCAGGCACAAAGTATGTGCTGTGCTGTTTTATCATTTTCCAAATACATAGAGGCAACACACACTGTTTCCGACAGTCCAAGTCTCTGCATATAATGATTCAAATGTCAGTTACCTGTGAAAAGGCCTTTTAGATCGAGGAGAGTCGTTTTTGGCAATTCGTTACCATTTTAGACGTTGCTCGGTAGGAGCCAAGAGCTTCCAACGCTGCTTGACTGTCAGAGACTATTTTTATTGACTTTTATATGAGGTTGGATTGTTCCAATCTCTCCGCACACAATTCAATAGCATAAATTTCTGCTTGAAATACAGTCGCATAGATTCCTAGGCAAGTTGATATCTCTGTCCTGAGTTTGCGACTGAAAACACCTGCACCAGAAGCTGAAGGTGTTTTTGATCCATCTGTGAACCAACAACTATCTGCTCTTAATATTTATTTCTCCCGGAGGATCCAGTCCTCTGTAGTCGGGAACAGTACTTTATAAGGCAGTTCGTAGTTGACAGTTGAAGGCCTAAAGTCAGAGGTCATTTCCAGAATGTTGTGACTTCCAGTGTCAACCAACAGGATATTGCACTCTCCACGAAGTATTATAAAGATACTTTATGTGCCACGTCAAAAATAATTAGATTCAAAATTTCTCCAAGGAAAAACTGTTTAACAATATGTAATCATCGCCAATTATTGAACTTATAATGTTATAAATGTAACTTTCTGTTGATATAAATGCTGCATATTTATTTAGAAAAATAAAAGATACCTACATGTATGCTAAGATATTGAACTTAGATTTACTTTGATAATAGGACCATTTACTTACTATATTTTTTAATTGGTGGCTTTAATATAGGATAAAAATAATGATTTTATATATGACAACACATGATGAGTGTTCATTACGTAATTTGCTCATTTTATTTGAATTTCGAAGCTTCTCAAGCTGGATAAATATTTTTTATATACGATTTCAGCACTTTGATCGTAAATCAGCGAACCAGTAGGTAGTTGCCCGTGATCATTACTTATCTGTTATCATTATCATTATTATTAACGAAGATCATTATGGAAAGCATTAGAAAACTGAAAATCTTTACGAAGTTTGGTAGATCTGAATAATCTGTTTCTATAATATTTTACCAATTGCAAAGTGAAACTCGATTGTGAGAAAACACCAAAAATTATAGATATCGTGAATGGAGGATATATTGCGTATATTTTTCAGAACATGTGGTTTTATGTTCTAAGATATTTTTAAATATGTTTGGCCATTACGTTGACCCTCAAATGAAATTGAAGGCACACGAAACAGTACATAAAATGAAGAAACAGATTATTTCATAGTCCGGAGCTGTAAGGAATATAATATTTCAATGTAGGTATTGTGAACGAATGTTTTCTTATTATTGAATTGTCACCCAAATATTCACATGCCAGATAGTGAATGAATTATAATGAAAAAATAAAAATTACCTCTTAGGAAACAACTTTCCTGACAGAATACATTTCAAAATGATTTTTGATGTTGTTCAGTAAAATTATATTCACTGTACTTAAAATCATCATTGGTTAATACGTTATTGTTATTTTATACGACGAAATCAATGTACCGTTCAAGTAATTAACTTTTATTATTGGAATTCCAGCGGCCAGGAAAAAGGTAAGCAAAACAAGTCACTGGTATGCTTCCGCATAATTTTAAAACTGAAGTAGTATCAAACAATTTCTAGTAACTACTTTAACAACAATACTTTCATTTATTGCATATCTTGCATGTTGACCATTAGTTCGGTTATATCTCATTCCTGATCAAATGATTATCAGGACAATACATAAGAAAATATTACGAGTATTTAAAAAAAGATTTTTGTGTGATATTGGTATAATCTACTGAAGATATCAAATGACAAATATCAGTGATACCATTCAGTTTTATAAATTCTACATGCTTCCAGATTCTTGTTCCGGTGCAACTATGACTACTTTCAATTATTTATGTAATTGTTATAATTGGCGCTCTTGAACTTTCTTCTATTGAAAAGTGAAAGGAAGAATAAGAACATTAATCGAATAGACAAGTCTGTAAGTCTTAACCGATGTTAATAAAATATGCAAATATCCTGAAAAAAAACTCTGAGTAAATAAAACAATAATTTTTCGAATGGTTCGGTATGGCAGATAAGACACCACCTGTAGAAATACAAAAATCAAAATAGTCTGATACTAGTCTTGGAAAGAAATTCACCTTTTAAGTTTTTTCAAAAAGTAGGGCAAACAATTTGTCACTTACTATTTACAAAACGTATTTCATTCAGGTCAGTTTGGTTTCCGATCTATTTTACAGTAGATGCAATCTGTAACGTTGTTATGCATGTAGTTAGGGAATTTGGAAAAGGACAACTCACAGAATTCACCCTGTTCGACATCTCAAAAGCTTTCAATTGTCTGTCTAACGGAAACTGAAAATAATTAAACTTTGATGGGACTTAACTACACAAAAGATATCAGTCAGTATCAGAAAATAACTGATGGAGTTCCCCAGAGTGGGCTGGGTCCACTTTCATTCATAATCTTTCTTAACGACATTTTTCACTTTATGTCCCACGACAAATATATACCGATGATACGACATTGTTAAACAATCCGAAGTATGTCCACTATAAATCACCTCAAATAAAATTGGGATAAATTGCAAAAATGCATTCTTTCTATCAATGATAATTATTTATCGTGTAGTTTGATGAATCTTCTAGCCATTTTCATTGATAACAGGTTCAACTGAAAGTCACATATAAACAAATTATGTAGAAAGCTTTCTTCTCAACATTTTCATTGCAGAGACTGAAAAATATCCTCAACTTTCCTATTGTAATGAAATAAAATACGATTAAACTTTTCATTCACATTTCTCACTACCTTATGGGGTAATTTTGCTCAATCGGATTTTTCCTCTACAAAAGAAGGCAGTGAGAATACCTTCTAGTACTATAATCTGCATTGTCATTCTTTGTTTACCAGATACGGGATATTACCCTTACCGTGTATGTATATTTATTTGTCAAACTACACTTTTTCAAGGACGAAACACAAACACTACAGGAAAATCCTTAAAGTGCTCTCAGAGCGGTGCCTGTGCGAAAGTAGCGATTCACATTGGATATGCATCGCTGGAGATTGAAACCATTTGGAAAAACTATCTCAGAAAGTTTATTCCACATAAACGTAGTTCTCCAGATGAAAAGAGTTCTTAAACAGTGAAGTTCGAGGTGTACTGAGTTGAACCTCAAAACGATAAGCAGCCACAGTAGGTCATGTATTTCTGATATGTACCGCACTTGGTGGAATCAAATGTCACTTGAACACTTCCCGTGAAAAAATCTAAAGAAACAAATCTCCAACCTTTCTTCGATGTTCCAGGCTATCAAGGTTGCACGTGATGTTTCTGGATGGAATCCAGTAACTTCAAGGTATATTTAGGGGCAGAGCTCCATACATGAGAACAATACTCCAAAGAAGGTCTGATCTGAGCTTTATAAAGCATCAACAGTTGCTGAAATGCGTACAGTTTTCTGGTTCACAACATTGTTCCAAGTTTTTGAGAAGCAGCCTTTGCAATTCCAGCGACATAATTATGTCAAGACATTTTGGTGTCTATTTTAACTTATCGGAGCAGAAAGCGGAATTGTCTACCTGACATTATTATATCCGGTTCGGAGACATTTATCTTCTAAGATAAAACCGATGCATGAGTTTTTGTGGCATTGAATTGAACCTGGTTACTGTCACCCCAATTCGAAATCACTTCTAGATCCACATTCAGATATGCAACGTCCTGCTGCCGGTGAAGATGTGCCTTCGTAACCAATGCCCTGGAATCCAGGACATTGGCTTGCTAAGGCGAGCAATCTTCCGACAAGAAGGAAAAACCACTTGTTGAAAAGTCTGCAAAATACCGGTCCATTTGCGCACTCTTTGAGTACGATGACGGGCACTTCATTAGGGCCAGACGCCTTTTTGATATTGAGCTGTTTCAAAATTCGCCTGACTAGACGCTGTCGAAAAGTAATTTCTGGCATTGTGGATTGTAGTGTGGGAATAGTGGGTGGCGCTTTTCTAGAAAATCGACTGTGGACGCAAATTGTTCAGCTAGTAGATTTGCTTTTTCTATGGCTGTTGTTGCAATTTCCCCATCTGCTTACGTTAGTGGTGGAATTGTGGATTTTGTAAAGCTCTGATAAACAGCTTGAGCTACTGACCAGAAGGATCTAGATCCGTTGGGATTGGTGAGAAGTTTATCCCTAATTCTCTAATTGTGAAGTTATTTGCTTTCATTTATCCAGCTATTCATTTTTGCAGCTGTTACGGTTCGGTTTTCGGCACTGGGATTTTTTCGCCACTGACGATAGGCCAGATTTTTGGAGGCGACAGTTTGCTCGCAATTTTTGTTGAACCAAGGTTTGCCGTTAGAAGGTCGTTTTATTAAAAAAGGAATATATGCATTCATGGATGATAGAATAACTTCCGTGACTTTAGAAGCACAAGTTAATGGTTCGTTAAAGCTGAAACAAATATCTAACCAGGGGAAATTTCGGAAATGGTCTTGAAGATCCTCCCATTCAGCTGATCTGTGATACCAAACTTTGCGCAGCTTAGATTGTTCCCCAACATTTATCCGTAATTCACTCAACACTGAAATGAGTTT